AACATTATATATATATATATATATATATATATATATACATACATATGGTATATACATTTTGACCTATATATGTACGTTGATTCAGTTTTTTCTTAATAAATCCAACAGTAAAATTGAAATAATTAATATCAGTATATGATGTATGTGCTTTTTCACTTCATCTGTGTTCACCTCTTAATACTATGACCTGTGGTGCTCTCTAATAGATAATAACACAGTCTTTCTCCCTCAGTGAGCCTGTGTTTGGTTCCTTTACAGGTGAAAACTTCCTGATAATTTAAGAAGGTTCCACAAATTTTCCATTAGGTTGTTGAACTTAGATTCTGTCTTTTTTTTCATGACAGGAATCATTAACGAGCACGTGTGTCAAGCTGCCTGTTATTGTCCTGTGATTTCATTGGTTAGTCATATTGCTCTGAACTCTGCCATTAACTGCAAGAGAACGCATAAGTGAGAGGGCAGCTAAGCTGGCAACTAAAAGGCCATTTGGAGAGTCTGGGTCCCTCCACATTGCTGTAGCAACTACTCTGCTTCATTGTTATGTGAGGGAAGTTGGCCACACCTATCCAACTCTCTCACCCTTTCTCTACAGGCGCCTTCTACTGACCCTGGCACACACACACAAACACCATACCCAAGCTAAAAACAACCTTGCCCTGTAAAGGGTCGAGTAGCTCTCTACCTGCACTTGTGTAAGAATAACACACTCTGCATAAATGTGTTCTGGTTACTGAATAAGTGGTTGTGTTTAGTTTTATATTCAGCTGAGTGAATCACTGGTGGTGGTGTTTGAAGAGAACTGAAAGAGAAAAAGCTGAATTTAATGGAAAATTGGTTCCTCTATGGGGGTTTGTAACCTTTAAAGCACAGCAGAAACAACAGCTTGTTTTGTTCTTTCTTGTTTAGCAGTCAGATTTACTTACGACCATGTCTTTCATATTAAAACGGAAAATACACCCATGAGCCTTTATACTGAGCTCCTCACATCTGTGGATATTGTGTAAATGTCAGTGTAGTCATTTTGGTCTGTACAGAGAACTGTAATGTTTTGGTTCAGATGGTTGTATGCAGGTTGAAATCCTTTAGCTAACAAAATGTTTAGGCTGTTAGATTTGGCCCACATCTTAGCCTCCATATCCTGTAAGTGCAACACAACATTATTACACTGGATTAGAATAGATTTGCCATATGAAAAGATACAAAGAGATACAATCTTGCCTTGTGGTGACAGTTGTCGTAATTTGGCAATACATAAATAAAATTGAATTGAATTGAACTTAATTTCTAAGACTGTAACATAACAATATCAAAGAATGCACACGGACACACACACACACACACACACACACACACACACACACACACACACACACACACACACACACACA